TTTTTTTTTTTTTTTTTTAACAACTCCACCCAAAGTAATGCTGGCTAATACCAGTGAGAAAAATAGGCAGCTCAGTGTCAGTGGCAATTCTCATCTTACGAATACTGCCAGCATCATTCCAACAACATAATACAACAGATACCTGCATGAGCATAATGCACAGCAGGCTAATGAAAACAAGTTTTACTCATATGTCTAAACAGCCTTTGAAATGATTTTTTATTTAGCCAACATTTTTGCCAAAATAGCAGATGTCAGTCAAAAGCCTCAAAAGAACAAATGAAACAATGAACAGCCAAAGCAGCTGAATTATGCTTGGTATGTTAAGTCATCTCCAAGCTGCATCTTAGGTGTTCAGGTACTGGATGAAACAAACAAACAAACAAAGACTACAGCAACTGGACAAAATAAGCAAAAAATAAAATAAAACTAAGCAGTGGGCGCTGAAACATCAGTAAGGTTCTGGGTCTATGCACTATGCAAAGCCATCTTTAAGCATGGGCCGCTTGTGTGTTTCCCTGTCAGATCTAGGGCTTTAGCATGTGCATTAGGAACATGCTAGAATGAGGTATTTAAAATGCAGTAGAATGTAACCATGGAAAAATAGGTATTTCGCTACAGTTTTTATCATTTAACTTTTAACCCAGCATATAGCACGGACTTACTTTATGCAGGGTGTCCAATCTGCCAGCGACAGTAACATAAGGAGTATTATCGACAATAGCCATAGTGCTAAAACAAATCTGCACGAAGCAACAAGACTGCTTTATGAGACAATGAAGACACTGTAGAGAGAGGTGAATGAAGAAACTTTCATCACTTCACTGCTGTTGTAAGGACACATCGTGCAATTATATATATGATCACACGCTATCTCAGGAAAATCTTAAAATTGTAGAAATAACAGGATTTTTAAAAATATTAGGTGGATTGTACACTGTAGCAATTATCTTCAAGGCAAGCACGGTGCAATGACATTTAAAGCTTCCTTTTAACATATAATGATGAAAATTATATTTATTTGCATATGATTTATTGCATTGAAAGGCACTGGTTTCAAGGGTAGGAACCCAAATATCATATATTTTATTATTTTGTATTATTCAAGAAGCCAAGATATTGGGAAAATTGGATTCAGATCATCATATCAAAATATTTTATAGAAGCTGCTGTTTTAATCATGTATTTATGCTAGCAAAGTTTTTGTTGTTGTTAATAAGAATTCACTTTGCAATGACAGTGGCAGCTGCCTTAGTGTACATTTTCTACTCCAAGTAGCTTTTGGAACGGAACATTTGTGGAATCATTCCAAAATAAATCAACTGCTATACATGTTACAAACAGAAATATTTCCCTTGTCCAAATTACCACTCAGCTGAACAGCCTGTCACAACGTCCTCTACTTCCTGCAAGGGCACAACTCCTCAGTACAATTTACACAAAGACATCTAAAGGATTCTGCAAAATAATTTCACTGATTTTTTTCCCTGTTTTACAACAATATTTTCTCTCTTTTTTTTTTTTTTTTTTTTGAATTTCCCTATGAAAACCCTGATGAAATTTCAGTTAAATCATTTTAATTCCCACATTGATTGCTCTGGAGTTTCTAAAACTACACTCACTCTGAAAAATACCAAGTAACGTTTTCTTTTCTAGTGTGGGTGAGGGATGACAGATCAAGACACCTAAACTGGCAACACAAGTCCCAGCTACTAGATTCCCAAAAGACCAAGACCAAGAGGATGTTCCATTATCTGTCATCTTTAGTCAGTACAAGTTCAGCAGCTGCTATTACTATCCAGGTTCCCTTTTTTTCAGCCCTGGCCATGATCACAGACTAACAGAACTCAACTAGATTCTAGAACTCAGATTCCAGCTGTATGGCTACAGAATGAGCAAGATATTTGCAAAATTAGAAATCTGGCACTGAATTTATTCCAACTTTTCACCAGAAGGCCTGTGGGAAGAATAGAAAAACACAGGGGGAACACAATATCACTCTTAAAATGTACCTTGATTGCTTCTGCTGGTGGGAAACCCACCCAGAGAAGGAAAAAAAGAAAAAAAAAAAAAAATCACAGAGACAGTTCTCAAAGAGGAGACAACTAAAAAGGATTTTTCCACATCCATCTCTTCTGAAACAGTCCCTTACCCATTGAGCTTCAGATAGTTACAGAGTTCCACAGTGCAGTATTAGGCCTATTTCCACGCTTCACCAAGCATGAAAATAAGCACTGAAGTAAGTTTAGTGTGAAGTTACTAATGTGGCTGCTGTGAACATGCTAACAGTGGAAAAAGGATTACAGGATTACTTCTGTCGCTGCACATTTGATGGCAAAGGAGCCTTTAGGGCAAGGTCTTTTATTTTGCTTTGTAGATTCATCCATTTAATACCTACATAGGTGTTCTAGAAGCTATTGAGGACTGAATGCCTTCACAGCTGTAAGCTTTCTCTACTGTGGGAAAATGAGATATTAATTATGCAACTCAGCACATTTAGAACTTGTCTATATATAAACACTGCACTGATATAACTCTATTACTTAACTGATACACTTCGCACACAGACAGAGTAAGTAGGTAGATAGAAAGTCACTGCAACTATCTAACCTGGCATGTCTTCATTTTCTTCCACTGCTGGTTAACAGATCTTACAAACCACAATGTTTAAGTGTTAGCCTAGTTTTTATACTACCTCACACCTCAAACACCTCCATTTTCTTTTTTGGCAAGCCTTAAAATACCTATATATTTATCTTACCCACAGGCCTAGAAATCCTTGGCTTTCTGTGACAGATGTGGAATCTGAATATATTTTGTGGAACTGCACATAATTTGAAAAAAGGTCAATGATTTTAAAAAGACTGAAAATAATGTATGAATTGCATTGCACACATCAAGTAAATCATTGTTCTAACTGGCTGCACAGAGGAATTTACAATGTCAAATTAATTTTGTACTAAGCAATTTGCTCTTAAATTTGCAATAAAAAACCTAGGGTAAGGTAATTATACCAGAATGAAGAGTTGATAAAAGAAATATCAAGCTTTTTGTTTATTCCAGTTCTTCAGGATCACTTCAGCTGCATCTAGTGTGCTGTCTTTCTGCAAAATAAGGAATACTACTGTAAATAGAAAGCTTTTGAAAACAGAGTAGCAGCCATGATTATAACATCAGAAATCAGTATTTGGCAGTTATGTTTGCATCTCAAGCAGTTTTCCATTAAAAGTTATAGCTACGGATCTAGACATCACAAAGAATTCAATGCTAATATCTTGCAAATATTTTTCAGGTGTATTTTTTAAAAAGATAATGTGAATGCTGAGGAAAAAACATTAACAAATTTAACAAATTTAACAAATTTAACAAATTTAACAAATTTAACAAATTTAACAAATTTAACAAATTTAACAAATTTAACAAATTTAANTTAACAAATTTAACAAATTTAACAAATTTAACAAATTTAACAAATTTAACAAATTTAACAAATTTAACAAATTTAACAAATTTAACAAATTTAAATGAAGGCATTTATGCAATAAAACTTCTGGCTGCTCTAAATTGGAAACATACTGGAAACATGCTATGCATAGTTTGCCATCTTTACAGTTAGGATTTTTAAATATCCCTAAAACCAAGTTATGATGTGAACTACTTAAACATAATCCCACTAAAGATGGGTAATCACAGTTCTGTGGCTTGGCTGCAACTGGTTAGTCATACAAATCCCCTTTAACTTGTCATGATTAGAGATCTTCATATAAGGCAAGCCATGTTTGCAATTAGCGAGTTTCCTCCTGGTTGTTACTGGCCCAGTTTTTATTATAGTCTTTTATATCTCATCACAAGAACTTAATAACACAAGCAGAAACTCCCCTTCATTAGTGGTCCAAGTTAAGGCTCTGATCTGTACATGGAACAACTAAGAGGTTGGCAAATGTTCCATTATGCTGATTCTGTGACAGACAGTAAGAATAAGATCGTAGGGATGTAGGTTTAACAGACTTTAAGTATCTGCTCCCAAAGCTTTTCAGTATTTTCAAAAACAGACTCAGCAAGTGGGTACGCAGGAGGAAGATAAATATGGGAAAAGAAGGTCACAAAATGACCTCCTTTTAGTCAGCCAGAATAGTCAGCCAGTTAGTAACATGCCAATTCTGTCTCCCTAACAAAACACCTAAGAATCATTTTTTTAAATGTCTTTGTTTTCTTTTGTGATTTGGAGTTTATTTAAAGCCCTGTATATTTTCAGGTAAGTGAGCTAAACTTGAAGCTCACCTGTTTAATGATTTGTTTTGTAGTTTGAAACTGACTGGATGTGAAGATACATAGAACATACTTCTCTGCTATACAAAGGAATTATTCCTTACTGTGGATTATAGAAGTCATCCCAATAGACAGCATGAGATATCTGTCATCCGCTCTCATACTCATCCCTGGCCAACAATGTTTTTAAATCAACAGAATAAGCTAAAAAAGCTTTACCCTCATAGCTGTTTTCTTCTTGTTGCCCTTCTTAATCATATCGCCCATATTTAGGACTTAAAAGTACCTCAGCAAAAAGATATTTGAAGCTATTTTATGTCAGATTTTACATCAAGATAACTTTCTGCTGCTAAAATCATAAAACACAGAATATCCCGGAGGGAAAAAAAGAAAAAAGAACAAAAGCAACAAGCAGCCTATTGCAGATTTTTATATTACTTGATTTTCGTTTTTTGAATATTCCTGGGACATAAGTTTACCTTAATGAAGCAAAAACGTATATATTTTTCAAACTGCGCTTTTGTCTCAGGACCACAAAATGCTGAAAGAGGAATTGCTGAAAGTTTCTGAAGTATAAAACAGAAATATTTATTTTACACAGATAAGTACCAGTTTCAAGAATCATGATTTTACTATTCCATTTTTTCATAACTCTTCTCTCCCTTCATTTAACTGAAAGAAAAGCTTGGATTTTGCATGCAAAGCTATTCTTAACTAAATCTTAAGTAAATTCTATCTTAACTAAATTCAAATCACCTTTCAAGCAAAAGGTTCAAAAGGTACTTGACTGCAACTAGCATTTAGGAGTGCAGGAAGGACTTGAGCCCAACAAACCTACCAAGTACATTTTCAGCATGCTCAGCAATCTTTTAGCCCATCATTTGCAGCAGTTAGCATAGGCACCAAACAGTACTTTTAATGTAGTATCTCTACTACATTATTTAATAAGTAAGGCTACACTTCTCTTGATTCCAGTAGACAAGCATTTCTAAAACTCTGGAGTATGACTAAGACACCTTACCTTAGATGCTATCATCCATCTGACAAATTTATAATCATAAGGTTGACTGCCCTCCTCATCAGACAGATCCACATCTAAATAAAATAAAATAAAACAAAAAGTAAACATGATGATATAGGACTTCTTAGTCTCCAGTGGAAAGGCATTCACTAATAAGCACCTTATTATAGTTAGCACTTAAAGACAAAGATATATACTTTTAAAAAATATATCTAATTTTTAAAATCTTATAGAGACTAAACCAGGCCAACAGATGTGCATCTTTCTGCTCTGACCTGAGCACTTGTGCTCCATGCAAAGTAAGATCAGAGATGTAGCTTAAAAGAGAATGCTGCAATACTCCAAAAAGTCATCAAGTCTGAATGACGGAGACCTGGAGTTTGGAAGGTGGTGAATAGGGTCCTTTTGTACAAGATGGACAACAACAATCACTGCTATTGCTGTTCTTCTCTCATCTGTAAAACTGGGGTATTGATAATTTTCTGGCACCATGGTAGTTTTGTGAGTTTGTAATCAACTTCTATTAAACATTTTATGTGAATGACAACTGCCATTAAAGTGAGTCACTGCAAGATGACAAAAATCCATTCCTCTTATGAATTTTTTCCTACAGTATTATCATCGTCTGAATTTCCAAAAAGATTTGCAATTTTTGGTAGGCTTTAACGATGTTTAAAAATCAAAATGCCTCAACTTTACCCTTCCTATGTGCACATCTCAAACCTTGCAAGAGCTTTGCAAACCAAGGACAGTTGTCAGAATCACAAAGCTTTTGCTGGACCTATTGGGCTAAGGCCAAACAAAAAATTTCAGTGCCCATTAGCACATCTGACAATGTTATGAGAAGATGAAATGAGAAGAGAAAAACCAAAGTTGCATTTTCATCTTAACATTTGTTTTCCACCCCCTGTTTAATAAACTTTTTACTAACTTAATGCAGAAACATCAACAATCATAAAGTAGCCTCCTTCTGGAACGATCGGCTTCAGTCCAACTTCCCGAAGCAGCCGAGCCATCCGATCGCGCTTGCCTTCCAGCTCCCGAGACAGCGAGTAAAAATAGCAGTCTGGCTCATCCATGCGCTTACAGTCAATCCAGAGGGCTTGTGCCAAGGCCTCCTGCGAACACAGCATTCAAAGTGCTCACACACTCTCAGTACAGCCACGGACACTCAGGCACTTCCTACCGAAACCATGTGGCTTTTGCCTTGATCCCGCTCTCATTAAGAAAACCAGCATATCCAAATCAGACAAGCTATATCCAAATGTCTAATTGTTTGTTTACTTAGTGCTGTGGTAGCACCCAGAGCACCCTATCATTTGCCAGGCCTTAATCTTGCACAGAGGTCCAAGTCCTGCCACGAGAGTTTACAATCTACATTAAGTTATTGATAAAAATACACCACAGAGTATAGTAAACAAACTGTATTCTAGTCGATAGAGATAATTCTTAGCAATCTAAAACCTTAGAGCAATAATCTTTATTTACATTTGCTAGAAAACTACTAATATTGTCATATTTCATGCAAGGGAGGTAAGTTCATTGATGAATAAAAAGGCAAGACTGTTTTGGTTTTTTCCCCCCTCAATGCTTCATCAGGTCATTAAATTTGTCACCTCTTCCACGAGTCCACAATACATATTTTAACAACTTATACATTGTTATGATCAGAACTTTATTATGGTAATTATGGTAAAGGTTTATGCCAGGTGCTAGACGAAAACTACCTCCTCTCCTCTATCTGTACCTACCTGTAATGGAGTTGGGCAAGTATATAGCGTATTTTGCTGAACTACTTGCAAATGCTTTATCAGATGCTGGGGGCCAATAGACCAACCAACCTAAGAGAGAAAACACGTATAGTCATACTTACAGCAACGGTATTATTAGGAATTAACAAAGAACTAGAGGTAGCAAAAGACCCAACATTTTATATTTTAAGAACAAGTAGTCAGTCATTTGTTTCAAAAAAATAGAATTCAGTAAAGAGCAGGTTAACACGAAGCTTGCTGAATGAGACCATTATGAGATTCGAGCTGTGAGACAACAGTTAAAATCTCACTCATCCCCATCTAAGGGTACTGAGCAAACTTGTAGCTCTTTATAATGAGGACTAGAAATCAAACCAAGCACTTATTAGGAATACTGTCCCTATTGTTCCAGGCTCTTCCCATCTCCCAGGCTCATGTGCTAGTCCAAGCACAAATCAACAGCTCATCAGGAAGTCAAAGAGAATTCAAAGCAAGCACCGCTAGCTCCAGCATGCCATGGTTCAGCCCGAGCATGGATGATGACCAATTTAGCAGCCAGATGGTTAAAATATTATGTTTGCTTTCACATAGACATTTTAAAAGCAAGCAAATCATTATTAATGTAATATAGATGTGGCACTAAAGTTTATCATACGTTCTGTTTTTGTGGGATGTTTGAGTTTACAATAATGGTGTTATACAGTTAACTAACCGATTTATGGAAATAACCGGATATTTACAGCAATTAAAAAAATATCACAATTTGGAAATATCACCACAAAACTGCAAAGTTAAAATAATATCAATGTCCAAGAATCTTCCCTGTTTTTGAACAAATCACAGTGTTGACACTTTTTCATATTTCTTCTCACAAGAGCTTATTTATAAAGTAGGTAAAATAGGATTAAAATACGAATGGTTCAAGCTGGAGTATTGTTCCAATTGAATATTATCTTCAGTTGAGAGAGACAGATTTCACAGAAGCTTTCAAAAGACAGGCCACAAAAATAGTGATTTTTTTAAAAATATGATAAATGCACCCTGTTATTTATATAACAGAACTCTTACATTTATTCTTCTTACCTTCCAGCCAGTTACACTGTACGTTTTTCCAGCACTTCCTATAGTTATTGTTCTTTCCCACATACCCGGCAAAGTAGCTGCATGTAAAGCAAAATTAATAGGTTACAAGTGTACCCATTATTCCGTGTAATTAGAAAAATCGTATTGCCCCTAAGAGCTTAAGTAGTCTGATGCATCATTGCAGCATGTTAGGCAAACAGTGAGAATATTCTAAAATTGCAACTGTAACAAACAAGAAGGCATATATGGGCCAATGTATTTTGGCACAAAAATAAGGTGAGAATTAACGAAAGGAGAAAGAAGAGGTAGAAAATAAGAAAAGGCACCGTCAGTGAAAACTCCATCGTGATTGTCCTTAGCTGGGGATACATAATTTTTCATAGGAAAGATAGGATCTGAAAAGTGACTACCCTTCATCTCCATAGGGTGCTGCTTCTGGTGCCTGGTAATAAGCACCATACACGACAGTAACTCAGTCACTGCCAGCCATTTTAATAGAATTGTCCACAGCAAACAAATCAGGGTCACTGGATGTTTCAGAATCAGGAGAAGACTTACTAGAATCTCTAACTCACAGCATCTAGGAGCTAGATACTAGTTGTCTAATTTGAAGAGACATGGCATTTTCAAGCAATAAAAGCCATGTCTGCAAGGAGTGAAGGGTGCATGGAGGCCTGTCCCTGTCTCTGCACGTGTCTGTGTCTGCCAGCAAACCAAAAACCTTTCCTTCCTTTCAAGGGAGATGCCAGAGCAAAGGTCTCTTCACACAGTTGCCCATTTTTTTCTGCATGCTGCCCCAGGGAAGCTCTGGTTGGACTCTTTAATATAATTAATTTTCGATCAGAAACAGATTAATCTAGACACACTGGTGTGTCTACACACAAGGTTAGAGAAGGTCATAAAGTTACAGCAGTAGCAGTGGTCAACAGCACTCAGCTCTAGGACACCAGAACCATCACCAATGAGTCTCTCAATTGTTAAATGCTCCCTCCAGGGCAACCATGAGGCAAAGGTATTCCAGATGAAAACCCTGGATTTCGTGAGGAAATTTTTGCAACAGTTATCTACATTAGATATAAATCTCTGCACTTATTTGAAAACATGTATTTTGTTGAGCACCCTTGCTGAAAAACAAAACATTTAGCAGAAAAGATTCATCTTCTTCTTAGTCCACCTATATTCTCTCTGCTGCCCAGTGACCTTGAAAACACAAAGGCACAGATGCATCCTCTAACCAGCTAAATATTTTAGACACGACTTCCTAAAGTCATCCAAACTAGCTCTCACAGACTGCAAATAGAACCAAATTCCAAAACGAATGCCCACAATGTACAACCAATGCACTGCAGCCCTATGCTCAGCAACTGTGTGGTTGAATGAGTAAGTACTGCACGGTCCTTTAGATACCATTTGCTTGCTGTTATTTGAAAGAAACCTTTAACAGCAGCACTACCATTGTAGTTGTGCCACTAATGTACTGCTAGACTATACCTTCAAAAATTAGATGTCTGTACATATAAGAAATAACTGTTGTATGTTAGTCAGCTCAAATACATCAGCAGTTCCCAACTAAGACCCCCAACCTTAGAAGCTTTTACACATACACTTAACTAGCATTTAAGGCTACAGTGCTACATGCATAGGACATGTATTTTACATATATATAAATAATATATAAATATATATAAAAATCTCTCTCTCTTTTACTTGAACTGATTCAGGAGTACAGACTCGTTGGCTTCTGTGGATGTCTGCTCTTAAATCTCTTCAGAGCTTTTGGAAATTCTATCTTTACACTTTAAAACATTGCTGAGAAATGCAAAGGGCTCCTCCTGTGAGAATAAAATCATCTCAAAAAAGACAAAGCTTCAAGTTTGGCCTTCTTGCACCAAGCATTACCGAAGAGGCATCTTTATCACACCATTACATATCCACCTCTTAGATGACACAAAAATTCAGTACCTATTTTAATGTGCTTATTTCCTTTGTAGACCAGCCATTCATACACCTCGTCACTGATGCACAGGGTATCATGTTTAATACAGAGATCAGCTATCAGCTGGAGCTCTTCTTGTGTAAACACCTGGGGTGCAAGAAAGAAAGGGCCAATGTATTAATCACATTATTCGAGGTATATTTTCCAATTACAGCCACATTAAAGCAGGACTCTTACCTTGCCTAACGGGTTGTGAGGGGTATTCAGAATGATTGCTTTAGTTTTAGAATTAAATTTATTTGCAAGTTCAGTAGGATCCAACACCCAATCAGCACTAGTTGCAAAGTTTCCATCACTTTTCTGAAATAAGAATAAATATACATTAACTTGAATACCACATCTGATATAGTCTAAGATCCCTAATTTAGGGCCCTCAGATACTGTCCCCTAACCATATCTGCTAACTTCTCCAACCTGCCCTGCTTCCAGGAGGAGCTTCCAGCCAAGAATAAAGCTAATCACGATGACAGCAGCAGCCTTCTCATAGCTACTGCCCGTCCACCTCCACGGAACAGGTAAGGTTATCCGTGCACCAGGTACCTCGTAGGCAGCGAGTGGATTGGTTTCCAGGATCTGAGCATAGAGTATGTAATGCAGGAAGTCAGGGCACGTGACAAGAAGGTGTATGGCCTTCCCAGGCACTAGCAGGGTGGGTGTTTGCTTGCCTGGAAGGATTAATCACCTCCAGACCAGAACGTCAGGTCTTCCCCCCACCTCCTTATGTGCAAGGATGGTATCAAAAATAAAAGGAATCTGGATCAGCTTTCCGAATGCACAAACTAAAGTCAATAAGAAACAATGCCTTACTTTTTCCTACACTAACAAAATATCTGCAATTTTGGGATTTATTTCCACCTCAGACTTGCAGACTATAGCAGTCTATCTCATTTCAATAGAATTGAGTGTTACAAAAGACTATGCAAAGGATTTTCTTCTACAAGATGTTCATAAAACTTCATTAGTTTTAGAAGAGAAGTTTTAAAGGCTAAACAATTTTTTAAATGCTACTCACATTTCTCAAAGGAATAAAAACAGGCTTTGCACCCACCATCTTCACCATTGGTTCGTAACAGTCAAAAAATGGCTCTATTATTATTACCTGAAATAACAACCACCTGTATCAGAAACAAAGAAATTGAAGTGCATAATAACATTATATTTTCAGATATGTTTTGATCCAGTAACTTAATATGCAAATATCTAGTGCAAATTAGAAAACAGACAAATTCTCATTTCAGTGAGTGCTAGTAAATATTTCTAATAAAAACTTACCTCATCTCCCTCTTCTATTAAGGCCTGTATTGCACTAAAGAGGGATCCATAACCTCCCACTGTCACTAAGATATCTGTGAGAGGGTCAATCTTCCTTCCACAAACTCTTTCATACACCTGAGACAAAGCTTTCACCAGCAATGGATGTCCCTGTTAAAAGCAAAGAAATGCAACTGACTAGTGTGTTCCTCTTTAGGCAAGAACCCAGGTGTTACACAGCATCTAAGGCCCATGATTGATTTTTTTCTCACATATAACGAAATAATAGACCATAATAGAAAAATACAAGATGGGCCTTCAGCGTTAGCAGGTTTTAACAGATAATGTGCTTTAAAGAAGTTCTTGCACATGTGCTTTAAAGTTTAATAAAGCTCAGTGACAATGTGCAAATAGGAACACACAGCCCTGTTTACTCCTGCTTACTCAGGCACACTACAGATTTCCAGCTGTGATTTTTTTTGGATACTTGGTAGAAAGAGAAAAAGCAGCTTAATAAAAAAAAAATACAGCTATACCAAAAGTCCTTCCCTAAAATGTTGAACACTGAAGGCATAAAATTATGAACCTCTTTGTAAACAAAAACATTATCATAAATTAAAGCTTGCCAGTCATTGTTGATTCAGATGACAGCCACTTCTGGTCTTGAGTGTGTCAGCTACAAAGGAATGCTGCAGCACCCAGGCCTTGCCAGGTCACTCTGCAGGCTCTAGTCACTGAGAGGCCCAAGTGTGGTATGAGGGGAGACAAAGTCTCAATTAAAACATGAGTAGAATCACTCATATTCATCCCTTCCATGTCTGCTAGCCAAAGATAATGTAGACAGTCGAAAGATCTTCTTAGTGCAAAACACCTGAGGAAGTTTAAAAGCTGAAGATGCAAATACTGATAAAAGTTCTCTTTAATTTCTATCAATAGTATAGTACTTCTGCAATGCTCATAAGTATCTTCAAACTAAGAAACAAAGTCACAGAAAACTTCAACAAATGCATGCATTGGCAAAATTGCACTTATGCCTGATTTTGAATTTTTTGCCGAAGAATCTGTCAGCAGATATTTGCTGAAAGAGGCTGCAGTGAATGGTCTCTGTAACACCTCCTCAGAGCCAAAGTTCTTCCATAACATTGCACAAACTTCTGAGGAAATTGCTAAACTGTGAGAAAGAGCTTTGAGAAACTCTCCAAAAAGATAAGAAAGGTTAAATAATAGACAGATGCGTGACTATTGAGATGAGGATTGCAAGTCAAGGATCCAAGGGGTAAAACTCAACAGGGAAAGGTCTAAAACCCTAAAGGAAAAGACATACTTAGTGTCATCAGTGCTAATAGTTTCTGGAAACAGCAAGCCAGCAACACAGGATCCCATCAAGAGCAGGAAGCTGTGGAGATCACTCTTCTCCCTTCTCCTCACTGATGCCTACACGGCTAGAAAATTTTTCAGATGTTTTATTGGGGGTGGTGAACATGCTAGGTTTAGTCTAGAAGTTCATTAAACCCCAGCTTTCTTTTATGCATGTTAAAAGTATACCCCTGTTGCCGAGCTACAGCTCTACAAAGTGCCCACACAAAGCGACCCAAACTGGGCTGTCAATGCCCACAAGACTGCACTCAGTGGGGATTTTTTTTTTCCATTCTCGTCACAGCCCTGAGTGACTTGACAGGCTTTACTGGTCCTGCCCAGACTCATCTGGGGCCCTCCCGTATCTCTGCCATGGGCCCAAGAGCTCCTTTCCAGTTCATCCCAGGGCTGCCAGCTCTGCTCCAGCTATGCTGTAGTGCTGGTCTCAGACCTGCACACTGACCTCCTGGCTTGGCCTCACTCCCACCTCATCACCACCCCCTTGCTGGGTGTCATCTCTGGACCTGCCCTGCTTGGGTGCTGGGTGGGACGGGCCTTGGCTGGTGAGGTCCCTGCCATGACAGCTGGGTTACAGAGCTCTGCTGCTTGTTTCTGCAGGTGCTGCTGGCCCTCACTGCCCTCTGTCAGTTCTCATGCATGCAAATTCTCAGAGAACAGGCAAAAAGCTCTGGTGAAATACATAAACACCAGCAACACAGCACCCTACCCAGGCCCCAGCCTATCAGCTCTGCACAATGCTTTCCTACCCATGCTGCACAACATGGTCCTCTAGAAGTGGGTTAGACTGAGTATAAACAGATCCCCTAGGATCTTGGAGAGCAATCCTGACACATTATTTTCAAGTGGGCAACATCATTTATCTTTACAATGAAATTTGAGAAAGACAAACCAAATAGGACAAGGAAGTGTCATACTGAACCAAAGCAATGGTCCATTTTAATATTCTGCCTCATGAGAGTGACAAATGCCATATGCTCATACCCAGCTCAAGAGGCCAATTCCACATGTCACCTGGTACAATGGACAGTGAGTATCCTCCAGGCCATAAATTTACTGTTTTAATTATTTCTTAATCCCCACTGAAACCTACTGAATGCTATGGGTGAATCTTTCCCATTCTAGCGGTGCTATCTCAGCTAATATCAGGTCTGTCTCACTCACTCCACTACGATTCTGTGCATTCATGTTTATACGGAGCAAAACCAGAGGTGTGCTATTAATATGCTCTGTGCTGTGAACAGACAGTGTGAATCTTCAGGGAGAACCTACCCCGCCACACTCATAATACCATACTGATCCTGAAGTATTCTGCACTAAAGAACCTTACATAGAGGATACTGGTTGGTAGTGATAGATCTGTAGCTGCCAGCTCCACTAGACAAACTAAATTTCAGATGCTAAGAGTAGAAATTATGGATGCAATCAGTGTAAAACAAAGTCCTGGATATTTCTCCATGGTAAGACTCCCACAGAACTTAGGTCCCCAAGTTCCACAGCACTTACAAAGCCCCGTGTGTACTGGTTCAGTCTGTCAACTGTTGCTGCTTTTGCCAGCTCTTCTTTCACATAGCTGGGAGGGGATATATCAGGAAGGCCTTGACCAAGATTGACAATTGAGGGATCTGCAGCCACCTTTGTAAATTCAATCCTACCGGGGAAAGAAAAAAGTTTTTATTTGGCATACATGATAAAATTGTCTTTTCTATCATCAGCATTAAAATGCAAAAAAAAAGAACTGTTTCAGATTGACAAATTCAGAGCAGGAGAAACAGCTTCAAGAGATGGGTGTTTCTCATCACACTGAGAAGTGGCGACAAGGACCACAACAGTCAGAAGGAAACTAAAAAAGGTTTATTTTCTGCATTCACACAATAAGTTTCTCACTTGGTGTATATTGTAACCCTGGATATGAGCAGAAATTAAACACTATTCTCTTCATAAAATTAGAATTCATTAGAACAGGCAAATTAAATGATTTAAAGCCTAGATTCTGCCAAATGAAGGAGTTATTTAAACTACCCAGCTATCTCTTTTGTTTGTTTGTTTGTTTTTTTTTTTGTTTGTTTGGTTTTTTTTTGAGTGATTCATTAGCTGTTCCTAGTATCCCACCAAAAATCAGAATTCTTGATTTTTTTTCCTTCTTCATGAAGAAGCTGTGCATTGTACCCTTTCCTCACTAGCCCAATGTTAATGCAATTAAAAATATTTATATATATATAAAAAACTTCACAATTTTGTAAAATAAATAGAAATTACTAAAAATAAGCCAAAGGCAGGATGACCAAAGCACCTTGTGTGTTACACATACACAACTAGTACAAGCCCATGCTGTTACCAACTACCACAATACCAATTTTCTCAGTGATTAATTTAATATTGAGACTAATGAAATATCCAGGAAAAGGTATATTAAAAATAACAGGCCATGTTGTAAAGACAAGTACAGTGGTTAAAACGAGGTCTATTCCTGTTTTTCAAAAAAGCAAGAATAACTGAAATATAGTTTAACAAAATTAATATATAAAAAGCCGGCTATACCACAATATCCAAAGCTATACTTACGTGGTTTACTAGATATCCAGAAGCCTAAACCTAATGGTTAAAGCACAAGAGAAAAAAAAGAAAAAAAAAGAAAAAAAATAGTTTTACCAGAACTTGTTTCATTGTTTCCTTTAAGCATTGGTTTCAGCAAAAACAGCAAGTGCTGTATACCTGGGGGGTGATTATTGGCAATAATTATCATGAAAATACAGCAGCCAAAGACATTTCCTGAAATTTGCAGAGATTTTTCTTTTACTTACCACACGTTGCTATCAAGGCCTTCAATTCGTCTTGCGTTTTTGTGCTTGAAAGGCATTGTCTGCAAGATCAAAATATACACACAGGGTTTTGCTAAGAAAGACAAAGTGCTGTATTGTTGGATGCTGCACGACATACTTTCATGCTTTTTCAAATACACCATTGCTAGCAGAATTCCACAGTTACATGAAATCATAGACATGGTCTTTCAAGAAAGCTTCTATAACAGCCTGAATTCAAACTCTCGCTAGGGAATCTGAACCGCATCTACTCAGAAATGCACGTGAAGTTTAGAAGACAAACCTAGTGCTGGCAGCCATTAAATATAATTAATGTCTGGCAGTGCTATACAAAATCATCCACACAGACATTACTCAGTGAGCCCTCCCCTTTTTCACACGCTAGACTCCTCAAACTACAACTAATAAGTCTTATCCTGAACCTTTCCAGCCAGTAACGTAACGAGAATAAATGCTTATCAGCTACAGGACTTTCATCACTAATTATAAGATAATTTTTTATTAAGTAACACCCCCTAGCTAAAACACATTGACAAATAAAATAAGCTTAATGCAGTTCTCATACCGTTTTAAGTTAGTTTCTAAAGAGTCTTGTTTATTCTTTTTTTGTGTCTTGAAACTAGTTACAGAACGAAACAGTTGTGTTAATCTCCACGTTTTCACAGATTTAGCTTCACTGAGGCTCAGGTTCAGCCCATTCCTTTACTTTGAGAAAATCAGCCAATCAGTTGACATTTTAAAAGTTATTCATTAAGCAGAATTTCTTCTTCTAGAAGGTCACAGGAATTCTTAGGATTTTGTTTGGTTTGGATCCAGTTGTGTCAGCACTTGATAATCCTCAAGCCATTTTTAGGTATGGGCTAGGGTCTCAATTTGTTTAAGCACACAAGGTATTTCCCCACCAAGCTCTAGCTCTGTGACCTTCTGCTTTCCCTAACGCTGATCACGTTAGACCAAGTCAGGTGCTGCTTCTATTTATCTTTCCTCATTATACAAAGTGAACAGTAGTTTAATACTGACAGAAGCAAATTCTTTTACATTGTGCACAATTAAATTGTGAGATTCACCATCAAAAGCTACAATTGAAGCCAAGATATGAAGAGAACAGAAAAAGTAAAGAAAAAGAAAAAAGGATTAGGTATCATCATGATCAGCGAGATCATCCAAACACATTAAACAGATCACAAACGATCACAGCATATAAAAAACCGACCTAAGCAAAACCCGAACTGGAAGGTGGCTTACATATTAAAAGACTTCTCATATAGACAACCTATATTCTAATTGTCTCATGTAAAGGTCTGTACACCTGCTTTGGAGAATATGTCACATAACCTGGTTGGCTCAGGTTGCTGAGCAGGTAAACTCTTGTTCTGACCTGGGAAGACAATATATACTCCAATGTTCTACACTGGAAATGAAGCGAGTGACCACAGCTCATCATGTTGAAATGCTGTTTTTTTCTGCGTGCACACAGCAATAGGCCCTGAACTCAATTGTGCTTGTATGGTTAGATACTTGACTGATTTGGATAACTTATTTTAGTCTTGCTATTACATATTGGAACCATATAAAAAGTAATTTAAAAAAATACAGCTGTAGCAAACAATGTTTTAAAGACTTCCTCACATCGAATCAATGATCTTAAAATGCTCAGCAAAGGTAATTCAAAAACAAAGTAGGACCCAATCCAATGTGTATTTACTCTTAACATAACAAAATCAGTGCATTTCTAAAATAAATACTATTTCAATAATGCAATCTATAAGGTTAATGAAATACTTACTGCAAAGGCTGAAAACCTGATGTATTGGGAAGGCAAACAGGTCCGTAGTAACCGTGTTCTAATTCCAAGGCAACAGAAGCTCCGTGAAGCAAAAAGCATGCCTGCAGAAAATAAGGAAACTGAAAAGGCTTACAGGAATGTTTTTTCCATACACCACTAAGCAATTTTCAAAGCTCAGATCTTGCTCTCATCCTTTCAATATTTTGATGTAAGAAAACTCAGTTGCAGAAAATTATTACCTTATCATACAATTAAACATAGAAGATGGAACTTTTCAACTGACAGGGCTGCACAATGTTTCTTAGGAAGATTTTCTCTATTTGCCAACATCAAGCTTTTCCTTGAATTAAAATAAAGTCTAAATGTAATTAAGCATTGAAGTCTGTGTTAGAATTGGTGTGAAACTGTTCATGTAAAAAACACTGCTATCGAAGTGGCAGGTTTAGAAACAATATAAAAACACACCAAGATGATGATGATGATTCTAATTATCACTTTTTTAAAAGAAAAGTTTCCATTTTCAAGTGTTTGAATCCAGACATTTCAAAACTGAGGACTAAAATCACCAGTCACACTGCAGATGCAGACCTACATGCTTTATATAACTATGCTAAGTTTGGCTGCAATTATTTGGCAAACATTAAATATCTACCAAGGCAGAAAATCCACAGCTAGAAAGGAGACTGTGTGTGGAGTAACAGATCATTCTCTGACTACAGGAAATGAACCATGTTAATCCACGACCATAAAATAAAAAAGGCCACTAGTTTAGGCAGAAACTTTTAGAATCCATTTTTAAATGCATGTATTGGATGGAATCGTCAAAATTACTGGTGTTCATAACAGAAAAAATAATATAATCCAGAGATCTGCATCAGCAACATGGCATGTCACAGTGACATCATTACTAACCTTAAGTTACATGGCTAACTCTTTAGAGAATAAAGAACCTCACTTCCAGCCACCCTATACTATACACCTGAAAATATTAAGAAAATCGCCACCACCAAACAAAAAAAATGCAATATTTGTATTGGAGAGGAATGCAGTGGCCTGTGAAAACAATGCAATGCAAGCCTTGCAGACACAATTAGAGAGCACCCAGAATAATGGTTTTACTCCAACAACAACAAAAAATCATTCTTTACATTTCACATGCAAGTTAATAATACAGCTCCTTATTTAGATACCTTTAATGATGTGAGTTAAGTTTTAAACCTAAGATGATTTTGCCTTTCTCTCATTCCAGTACTACAAACTCAGTCTCAACTGTGAGACTAAGATCTCTGGCACAGCACAAGCACCAGGAAGGGTTTAAAACATTTAGTAAGATCTGTATATACATTATATACATATACACAAAAGCATAACCCAGCAAAGGAGCAGCAGACCTGTGTCACCGTAGAGGGGTCAGTCTCTAAAGGTACCTGAAATATCTGATGAAAAAAAATATACTTATATTTTACATCATGGAAGTGCAGAAACTGTCAAAATTTTATGAAAAATATAATGAAAAAAAGAATACTTTCAATAGGCTTTCCATAACGTCAGTCCCACCTTATTTAAACCTCTTAGTACCTCTTTTCCACTTACTAACACAGACTCAAGAGCACTCACGGCCAACACCAGTGTCCCCTACACTGAACAGCCTCCTACAAACTCCTTCTATGGCTTTTCTTTCTTTTCTGTCCTGTAACATCAAATACTTCCATTTAAACTACTCTACTTAGCATAGACATGCAGAAGTGATATATCTAGAATAGATCACAGGCTCAAGAGGCTGATTTGCAGTTACTCTAGGATGACTGCACATTTAAGTACTGCCTCTGGACATCGGCCAAGTCAGTGATTTTGCTCTGCATTAGACAGCCTATAATGTCTATCTTATCCTCAGTTTTTCTCATGAAGATGGAGAATTTCTAGAGCACACAGCACTAACAGCTACTAAGGGTTTCAAACCCTGTTTGAATCCTTTGTAAGCACTTGCAAGGTTCTTCACACACAGAAAATGCATCTTTTTTTTGTAGGGGGGAAGAGAGAGAAACAAAAGAACATTACCTTTTGCTTTCTTAGCCTTATTAACTTCTGGGTTTTTTAATCGCATTCTAAGATCACTCACTGCAACTCATAGCCAATCCTTCTGAAACTCATGAACTTGCATGAAGAAAAAAAAGTTATCATGCAAGGAAGAGGAAAAAGAGAAAAAAAGAGGGAAAAGCCTACTCTTCCCTTCTTGTAGGAGGACGAGAAGGAAGGCAGCCCGTCGGAAAGGTCAACATGATAAAGGTGGTAGCGGGGCTGGGTGCAATGCCTGTGTTTTTAATTCTGGCTGGCAACCCAGTTTAACAGTTTGTTCTCAGGAGCTCCAGAGACAGGGTAAATTAAACTAATTAGCTAGGCTGGAAGCTATAAGAAGACTTTGTGATGGGAGCTCTCTGCATACCTCAGCTTACGACAATCCTTTACCTCACACAACGCTTTACAAACACTGCAACACCGATAAAAACCCCTCAGCTGCAGGTCCTGGAAAAAAAGTAAGCCGCTCGGGCTCCACGTTGAGGCACGTTTGGTGCATTATGCCTATGGTGAATATCCGTTCAACATACAAGCTTAGAGGTGCCCTCTCTCAGCCGAACTCCCTGCAGTCCCTGAAGGCCACGCTCCCGCGCGCGCTCACGGAGGGGCAGTTCTGCAGGAAGAAGGGCGCCACCTTCCCGAAAAAGGCTCCAGAACTTTCCCCGTGCGCAGGTAGCCACGCGCTGGGCGGCCCCAGGGCGCTGCTGCCAGAGCCGACTCCAGCCCCAGCCGGCCCGGAGCCGCAGGGCGCCCCGCGGCGGCGCCTCCCGGGCGGCCCGGGCAGACACGAGGCCGCGGCCCGTCCCGCCGCSCGCCCCAGGCCGCGCTCCCGGCCCGGCGCCGCCACTCACCGCCCGCGCCGCCTGCGCTCCGGGCCCGCTCGGCTCCGCCCGGCCCGGCCCGCCCCCGGGGAGGGACCCGCGGCCGCAGCAGGGCCCGGGGTCAGAGCCGGAGCCGGCCGAGGCGCGGCTGCGGCGGCCCTTGTGCGCTCGCGGGCGGCCGCGGGAAGGGGCGTCAGGCCGAGTCCTGCCGGAGCCCGGGAGGCCGCGACACTGCGGGGCGATCCCGCTCCTGTTCTGCCACAGCCGCCGGTATAGATCAATACTGGAGCAAAGAACTGCCCGTGGCCTGAGAAAACACTTCTTAGAGCAAGTCCTTCAAAGTCTTATTTTTAAATACCTTATTTGAAGCTAGAGATCTAGTTAATAATCATGAAGAAAAGGATTAGCTGACAGAATGCAGACAAAACTAGATGCACTAGATACTTAAGCTACTTACATATTATTCCTGTTTATATTGTGTTATATTTATAATTGAACCCCTGGGAAAAGTGTGATGAGAATGTTTCAGAGAACAAACTGAAAACTGGATGTAGAAACACTCTGATGAGAAAAGAAAAAGGGGAGGGAGAGCAGGCCATGATTTTCAGTCTTAAATATGACACACGGAGCAGTTAACACTTAACTATTTTTTTTTTTCCTCAGTAATACGTTTTGGAAAATGTATGTTTTCAAACCACGTTCCCAAACGTGGCACCTGAACTGCCCTTGGGCAGCACCTCAAGCACCAGCGGAGGGCAGCAGATCCCAACGCTGCCTTGCACGAGGAGGCCCCAAGGAGACGCTTGGGCCTGCCCTTGGCCATGCACAGCACTCATGTCCTGATTTTTTCACGGAGTTTCCTTTTTAATATTCATATTCGTTTAATATTAATAATATTTTATTCTTTAAACAGGAAAGACTCGGTTAGAAAGCTTGAAGAAAGTTTGTCTCAGTGCTACTAGAGAAAGCGAGTAAAACAGCCGTGCTACCCTGGCCGTGCGAGGGCCAAAGCTTCTTTTCAGAGTGGCAACTTCCAAAGCTGTTCCGAGTTCTGGCACAGCAGGGAAAGCAGAAACTTCGACACCTGAGCCTAACAGCTAAATGCGTGGAGTAAACTTTTCTGAAGGCAATATTCATAAAATGAAAATGGTCCTGAAATAACGAATTTATATATGCTGAGGTACTGGCGTTTTCAAACATGTCCTTCCTACTTGGAAGTGATATTCATTCCCAGTACCCTCATGATGTAGTTTTTTCTTAAACACCCAAGTATCTCATGCTGACTTCAAGTTAGGAGCATTTCACTAATTTTGCCAGTGCATGGTAATGCATGCCGTGTTTTGGATAAAAATCTTACATGGCTGATCTCTTCAATACACACCCACATTTTCTAGAAGCACCAATTAATGCATTTTTTTAGGTGAATTTATTTTAAGTGAATGTAACCTGGCTACATCCTATTGATAAAGGAAGAAATGTAGTCAGGAATCTCAACACTTCATGAAAGACCAGTGAGAATTAGCTCAATTACAGAGAAGAAAATTACTTTGCAGGACTTGGATGCAGTTCAGAAAACTCTATTAACAGCACAAAGAAATTCGCTGACTCCAAGTAATTCTGTCTATTCTTTTTTTTACCCTAGCTGCAGCAAACAAGACCCTAATGAAGAAACTGCATCTTAGTTAAATCAAGGTACGGATGAAAACCATAAGATTTAGGTCATCTTTCCCTTGTCTTTTATGACTCTTGTCTTAGTTTTCTAGAGAAATGTTCTAAGAAATTAGTGTGCTACCTTAAATAAAATATGCCCTAATGCGGATGAAGGAACACAGCCCAGATATCTCACACGCTTAGCATTATTCCTTACAGGCTGAATCAAATCTGGACTAGGAAGGAGGATGTAGCTGTCTGGCTGCTCCTACTCCATGATAAACCCTGGATTGCATCGGTGGGGGGTTGTCCACTGCACTGGAAAGATTTCAGGGAGAATTTCCTATATTACACTATGCAGAATTAAACAAATGGATAGGATTTTCATTCATTTGGCATAAGGTGAATTGCTCATCTAACTATATATATTTTTTTTTAAGATTAAACATCTCATATATGTGCCAAGGAACTCCTTTTATCAGACCATCCAGTATGCATTTATTATTTGCTTTGATTCTCTTTCAAAAATATGATTTCCTTTTTTTTTCTCTCTCTCCTTGTAAGCTGTATTGTAACAATTTATCATGTAATAGCTACTGTACATTTGGCACTATTCTGAAAAATGCATCATAGCCAATTAGTTTCAACAATATTCAAATACATGATTATTTATTCTTTTATTGGTGATACTAACACGTGCCAGAGTTATCCACCGTCTCTACCCCGCAGTTGTCTTCCATTTTGAGATTTACAAACTGTATGAGGACTGTTTCCAGCACCTGCAAGGACTATATCTTCAGAGGCAATATAATAGATGCATGATATAATCTAAACTTTGTGATCAAATTAATTGGCTATGATGCCTTTTCATCTATCAAGTTGATTTAAAAAATGTCTATGTATTCTTGACTTTAAAAAATTATTTAGAGATTTTTATGTGATGAAGGTTAGTGTATCTGGCTGGCTTTTTCTTCCCTATGGAATCAAGCCATTAATAATGAAAATGATTATAACAAAGGAAATATTTTCTAACAGATCCCAGAGGTGCTTTCTCTGTACATAAATTTGGGAAGAAACACTTTATAACCGACCTTTTTTGTCTTATTTCCATGTCCCCCAAAGAGTAAAATGCAAGTTTGTGCTTCAGATGTGGGATCTCATCATCAAAAGAGCAATCTATCAGAGGAAGGATGTGCTGCTAGGGATTCCTCAAGCTGCCAGAAGGCATTTTTACTGTGACGTTTTTTCTTGCAAGGACAACAAATAACACAGGAACTAGTGTTTTCACCCTCTGGAGGGGTACTAGGAATAAATTTGTGAGATATATCACCAGAGAACCTCAAACTACATATTAGGAAAGAAAACTAAAGTAAGAAATGAATGCCCTGAATGAAAGTCCACTGAAAGACAAAGAAATGTGCTTTGGTCTTCTAATTTTAAAAACTTCCCTGAGGTTCTGAGTCTGCAAGGTGCCAAACAAATCCATTTTTTATTGCAAGGGTAACTTAAATAGGAAGGATCTTCCATTGTTTGCTCTTAAGCTGGTTCCTTCAAAATGATGCTGATTAAAGAAACCCTAAATGTTTAAATTGATCTGGTTAGCGTTGGTAGGATCAGAGTGGGACTTGACAACACACATAACACACAAACTGCAGTTCAGAGGGAATAGTAATTTGTAGTGGAAAAACATTGAGGTCTATAATCAGCAACCAGAAGTTGATTGGTGGGGGTAAACTCTCAGTTTGGCTCAGCTGAAGTCAGAGCAGGATGTCTGCCACCTCAATGAATAAAGCTTCAGAGGTTACCTAGAACAGCACAATAAGTAGTTTCTTACTGAAGGACTTTTGATTTCCAGTGTGTTAACCTAGTGTCCACAGTAAGCATAAAGATGTCTCCAGACAAGACTGGGTTGACTTTGCAGCAGTGCTGAACAACCAGCAATTGACATTAATGACATAATTAGTATGTGTACAAACCTTTTCACTTCTGTACAGAGTAAGCATAATTAGGTAGCATAAGTGAAAAAGCTAGAGAACTGCAAGAAGCCTGGATCTGCATACAATTAAAGCATATTTTGTCTTTTATTCAGAAAATTATATGCTGTAAATGTTCCAAGTGCTAGATCCTTAATTGCGTTTTTATTGTCTTACAGTTGCAATATTAGAGTTGTACAGCAGAGTCAAAGCATTTCTAAACAAATGGCACTGGATTCAGGAAGCACTAGAAGTATTTTAAATCTGCTAGTAGCATTCTAGCAGGTGTACATCAATCATTAGCAATACTGTATTTAGTGCTGTGTGTGAGCTTTTTGTGCTTACACGGCTACTAAAGTGAGCAAACATTTATTTTGTGATGAAAACTATTATGGGGACAAATAACTTCAGTTGTTCTGTTTACAAAGGCTACAACAGAAATCCTCATAATAAGACTCAGAAAAAGACTTCACTATTAGTCAACAAGATGCTAAGCTAACAAGGCAAAAAAGCAATAGCATCTATGAGCATGAGTATTATCTTTGTCTTTCAGTATATAAAAACCAGATGACAAGCAAAAAACATCCCATTTAGAAAGGCATTGTTTATGCTACCATACATAGCGTATGCATCTTTTTTTCCTTTCCTTCTCACAGTTACTCATGATGTAACCAGATCCTGACATTCCAGTTTCTCCTTTATTCAAGCCTTTTCTTTCTCTGCAGACACTTTAAAAATATTTTCTCATAAGAGGCATTTCTTACATAATCTTTTCTAACCTGATCTTCAGCATTTTTAGTTCAGGCTTTGTTCTGAACGCAAATCACCTACTGTGCTTCCTGTTTCCTAATGAAGAAATCTGAGTTTGTATATGTATTTTTATATATAAAAAAATATAAAATACCAAAAGTGTTAATTCAGCAGAGTATATGAACAGTACCTTTGTTCAGCAGAAGCTCCAGCTTTGTTTTTATATCATGTTTGTATGAGTTTGAAGCATGAGCAGCACTGCCCTGGGACCAATTCCTGTACCTGGGGAAAAACATGGATTAAGTATAAT